CCCAACTACATAACATATTCTCCTGTTCTCGTCAAAACATTACTTTACTACTTTACTTTCATGGACTAACTGTGATATTGTGATTCTTCATCCGAACCAATGTGTAAACACCCTATGGGATTTGTAAAAGCGAAGTCTTTGTAAGTTATATTCCATAATAAAAATTTGAATTTGAATTTGAGTTATAACGAAAATGAAGATGAGCAATGTATGGCGAATGCCTTCCGACACAAGCCGGAACTCAGTCCGGTTCACTGAGGACACGAATCTGAACTGACATCCGTATATGTGGGCAGAGATGAAGAGACCTCAAGTTAACTCGCTCAGAAAGAGCGCTGTGAGTGACGTCCAACGTGATAGCAATAAATGCCCAACTCTACCTGGGGTTCTAACTCATTGGCATGGTAAAACCTCTCCCGTGAATCGGTCAAAACAAAGGCGCGCTGCGATTCAAATATCAAACGAACAAGTTAACCGAGCTTCTATCAAATGTCATTGAAACTAAGTTGAGCAGGACGGAATTCTTTGCGCACGCTGACACAAATCGCAGATTAGTTTAGACTGCGGACCGCGCTTATTGAGCGGAATGAATGAGAAGAATGCATTGATGCGTCCGATTCTATCCGGGTTCGGTATTCGGATCACATAAATGGAAACAATTATCGTAAATTTCTCAACCCTAAAGGTTTTCTGACGCGATCTATAAGGCGCAAACACACTGAAATGTTCCATTATCATTACCCTTTAATGCATTCTAAAGGCTGTGGTAAAAACGGACAGGCAGATATCTGTCAATCAATGGCATGCCCTTAGTCAGATAGTATCGACGTGAGTCTCCCCGACCGATGCAGATTTGCGCATCTTGCTGGTCTGATTCCTCTGCTTTCAAAACAGAATCAATTGCATGAACTCATTTATAGACACAATTTTGACTTTCTATCGTACGGTTCGAACACTGCTATGGTAACGAAAGTAAACAGAAACGCAGCCTGAACGGGATATTCTGATGAAACAAAATAAAACATTCAAGTGTACGGAGTCAAGTAGGTTCAGTAATTTACCAATCCACGCATCTCTTCAGAGGAGTTCAGAGTCACTGCGGAATCGCACTGTCTTGCTGAATCAATCATTCGAATATTAGAAATAGAAGCTTTTTGTGTGGCTGATATTTTTTCATGATAAACCCATAGAAATCGATAGCGACGTTGTTCTCTAAACCAGCGTTTTTCCCTCTATAAGTGTAAATTCAGAGGTAGTTGGTGGACAGTCCTAAACAAGTTTTCATCCATTCTAATCGTAAGAATATCAGCTGCATTTGTAGCAATCAAACCCACGAGTGGATGTGAGTTATAAATATAAATAAATAATTTTTTGCTTCGTTTATTGCTTACTGATTAGATAAATGTACGATGAACTTTTAGGAAGGGGACAGCGACCTTAGAAAGAGCTTGGTGAAAGGCGGAGAAAGGGTAGATTGGAGACGGTGGTGGGGTTTGATCTCAGATACTACCACATTACCATCGTCGTCTTTGGTTTGAATAAGTAGACATCTAAACAAATCTACTTAATTGATCCAAACTAGTTTGAGTGTGAGTCTAATTCTACAGGTCTGTCTTACTGCAGAAAGGAATACGAGGTTAGGGCTGGCACTTGCTGAATGTAATCAGTTGATTTAAATCCTCCATACCCATTCGTATTTATCGATTATTTGCAGGTCGAAGCCAAATATATGCACAATCCTTATCGTTTTGTACATTTTGATTTACTTTTGAGCTGCACTCTGTAAATTTTACGTTTGAGGGTCTGGATGAGTCTTTTGAGCTTCTTGTGTCATCCATTCTAATGCACGGACACCAGGCTGAGTTTACTGTGTGGGAAAACGAATTTTTCTCATAAATTTCAGTATTTTAAATCAAATGGAACGATCAACAATCCGGACGAACAGAACGGTAGTGTCCTGTCGTTCTGTTCTTGCCTACTAATGCTTTTTCTCGACAATCTGGGCACGCTGTTGCCTTGGCCCCTTTTGTTCTACTTTCTAATCCACCCCACTTTTAAACGCACATCACTAACAACTTTCGACTTGTTACGTGTCCCACTGCACTCGGTCTCAGTGGTTCCCAAACAAGCGACTTCCGGAATGTATCTTTTTCCGAAACCTTGTCTCCATCCGAAAATGTGGCGATAAGAGGAAACAAATTGACAGAGTTAGTCACACAACATATTAGATTGTTACTCCTGATTTGATTATTTGTGGAACTCTAAACCGCCGAAACATAAATAGCATACTGAACGGAACGTCCATTAAAATAAGCAGATTAGGTTGTCTTTGCTTTGATCAGTCCATGATGAGGACTTTTGTACAGCAATGTATTCTTCACTCGGTGCTCTCTTATCACGTTTTGCCATCAACTACTAATAGACTTCAACTAACTGAGTCACAATCCCCCAATTCTTTGTGATGAACGTTAGTTGCGACAGATATTGATGCTTGTCTGGTTTTTTAAACAAAGTTTTGTCCGATAGCCTCCATGACTATATACATGAACCTAGCCGCATGAAACTCTCGCTTCAACTACTCACTTTATTCTATCTTGGTACTGGAACTCTTTGACACCTACTGATAATTAGGAATTAGGATATCATCCTAATTCTGGTTTGCATAACGAAAATACGTTCTAAACTACACGATTCGTTTTGTGGCTGATCCGTGTGTTTGTGCTGCCTTACCGAGGTCACATTAATGGTTTCTTCTCAGTTGAGGACCTGTGTATAACTTGGATACCCGTAGAACTAGCTAAATGATGTATACAAATGCAACCCGCGTTGAGTTTTAGTTAATGAAAGCAACCACTGATTTAAGTGTATCTACCATTTCGTGTTCTTACCACGATTCCCTTGGGTTTCGTCCGCTACCATGTCACCTCCTCGTTCAGTTGGTTCGTTCAGACCGATTTGATTCGGTTGCATGGTGATCGGTTCGGTTGTCCCACCGGTCGCGAACAGGGGATAACCAGTCACATGACACGAAGCGCGCCACGGCTTGTGGCTCACGTAGTAGTTGGTCTGGTGTGGGACCACTTCGATCTCCGGCTCCGAGTGGACGAGCACATGACCGATAGCTTGAACGCGTCCAGCTTGATTCCATACGCTGCATCGATACAAACCGTGATCCGTGCGACGCAGATCTGATGAAAGTCAAGTCATTTAATGGATTTATTCAACGGTGATGTGACCCAAAAAATGAACAATCGGAGAACCAAATACGACAATCGCTAATGCACAAATAACTTACGCGTGTAAATGAATCGAACATAATAAGGTTAACATAACACAAAATTCGGAAGAGATAAGGATAGAGTTCCTTCTGCGCGTCCTCGGAGAGAGTGGAGAGAGCAGAAGAGCAGTCAGATCAGACGGAACTATGACAGAAAGACTAATCAAACAGTATCTTCCAAGCAAGCTCATGAAAAGTTTTGATGTTATAAGGTTCGGTGTTGGTAGACTCTATGAGCCGTACACGAACCCCCAAAAACGAATAAATATCTGAATGACTCGGGTATCAACTAGGTATGCTTTTCTAGGGAACCAGTAGGCGGGCAGATAACCTGTACATTGGAATGCAGAAATGTACGAATAGTTTAGCCAACTCAGACTGGAAAGCCAAGAGCTAAGAGCGAAACGAAGAAAATGAAAGTTTTCTGACCTTCGCAAGATAATTAACTCAAATAATGACTCCAAAATCTGTAAACAAGACGAAAGCTACAGTATGAGACGTTTTATGGACTGACCTTTTACGTCCATCTCGCAATGCATACAGCGATGGCTAGAAAAACATCGCTTAGACAGTCCCAGGTTACGCAATTGCACATCGCCGGTTGCTTGGCATGGCGAAACCAAACACCAATCGGATTACTCGAAGTGGTAACCAATAGAGAGTTAACTTTTGCGGTTTTTAGCACACACAAATGGCCTGCCCAAAGTACTTGACTTCACTGTTAGGTGATCCTCAAAACTATCCTTAACACTGACAATTTTCACCTTCGCAACGTTCCCGCGCTCACCTTTTTTAAACCCTCCGTTTGCCAGTCACACGTACACACCCCGTTTGATGTAACATAAGTTTCCGTTACATGGTTTACGCGCGTCTCATCTCACACGACTGGGTAGTGAATGTGAATTTGATAGCTACTGTTGTCCCTTGAAGTGGAATGGTCGACCACTGAGCCATGTCCATTTTGGCCTAGACGATAGCACCGTTTATTTCAATATTGGGGAGGTGTAACGGCCAATATGTTATAGAAATTTCAGCGCGTAAAAAACAAGTTGCACTCTCATGTTTGTCTTTCGGAAAAACATCATAGACGGTGTCAGCAGAGGTGATGGAGAGATAAATAACTCTAACATGAAAGTGTTTCTTAACCAACAAAGAAGTGATGTAATAAGATAATTTTGACAAATAACTTAATGAAAACTGAGTGCAAGTGAAAAACCGAGAAAAAATATAAATAGGTGTTATGTAACCACGGTCACCCGCTGCATCAAGTGGGTGACCTCCATAGACTATATTATTTTGAGCACGTGTTGCGTATGCCATCAAGTATATTACTACGGCGCGTGTTATTTGCTGAGGCAAGAAGTGAGTGGAAATATACCAGTGTGGTGAAACAAAGAACGGGCATGAGGATGTGGAAACCCTGAAAGGGAAACTTGCTCACGTTGCTCGCATTAGGCTTTCTGGATGGGGGATGGGGGGATTAGCGTAATCAATGGTTGGAGAAACTGAGTGATATGTTTGTATCGTAAACAGGGGCGCTCCTGCACATACTCAATGTTTATGATAACCAACAAANATAACCAACAAAGAGCTCTGGACAGCTGTTCCGTCCTGTTTCGGACTCGTCGACACTGCGTACTTTTTGTGTCCCTGTCACAACTCGAACCGACATCAACAATGTCTGGTGCCTGTAAAAAACCGAATGGGCTAATCCAAACATGGAACATCTAAATTGACTGAGCCTTTCGCACACATTGATAACCGTCGAAAGTGTAGCTCAAGGGTAAGGGTTTGAAGTCCCAGCCCGAAGAATCGCGGTTCGAGTCCTGACAGGGACACAAAAATTACGCACTACTGACGAGTCAGAAACAGCTGTCCAGTGCTCTTTGGTGGTTATCACAAACGTTTCCATCGCATAGAAACCAAGGTAACTTCGGATTGTTTCATTCACTGGCGATGTGTCACGTCATTTTACCTTAACACGACTTGACTGAGGTCATGGTTCGGTTCTTCCCGTAGGCAAATTGAGTGCAGTGAACATCATATTCTGTCTGCATACTGGTGGGTTCAGGGTTGTGATTGCGACTGCTTCGGCCATCGCCAAGACACGTTGTCAACTGTGCTTCGGCTTGTATTGGGTAACGTTTCAGATTTCTCGAAATACATTTTAACTAATAACACGAGGTCCATGGATGGAACGGATCTCACTGAAAAACTTGGGCGTCGTGCTCATGATTATTGAGGAAACGATACAACGTGATCGGGAATGTTGTTCAGATTATTGCTGACATGATATGGGATGGGAGGATGATGGATTATTGGACAACGACCACAACATCGGTAAGCGATCCCGTGAAGCGCTATACGCAATTGACAATCAGGAAAAGGGAACAAATTGTAGCATTTTATACAAACACAAAGGAACGCATCATCAAAATAGCACAGCATCTTTTCATCCCGACCAGATCGCAGAACAACGGGGAGAACACTACTAAACAATAGTTACCCAGAAAGGTTCAAAGACATTCACAATAGACCATTCCTAAAAGGTAACCTAATCTCAAACGTCTACCATCTACCTAAAGTTTGAGTTCAAAGGTGACCATATTTACAATGATGTGCACCATAAGTCTAGTTCAACTCTAGACCGTACGTTCCCAGCTGTTCAACTCAAACTCATTACCTCCACTCGTGGAATTGATTTGGACAAACATTAACATGGCTGGCAAGCCGGTTCTGTCTCATACACTGTATACCACCTGCAGTTGCGGTGACGCATACATTGGCAGAACAAACCGCTAGCTCTCGCAACGGATGGCCGAACATAGTCCAACGTGGCTGGTAAAATTGATGGTCTAGCGATTACAAGAAATCCAGGGTCATCTGTTGCAGAACATCTCATGACAATAAGACACACAATTTACCCCGGTTCGACTTTCAAACCACTTTTACGTAATTGCAATGCTAAACTCTTGGCAATTAGTGAGGCGCTACTTATTCGGTTACATAAATCTACCTTATTCGCACAGAAGTTTTTGATACAATCAATCCGCTTACCGTGGAGTTGACCTTCTACTTCGATGTTTAGTAATAATCGTATGCTTGTACACGTTCATTTACCATAACTGGATAACCCCATGTGCTATATATATGCTTGACAAAATATTGAAAATGGGTTCTCGTAGCTCGGGTGAACTGAATTCCATTTTGCCTGTTCGCCGAGCTTGGCAATTTGTTTGCAAACGTTTCATCACCAGCCGAGGTGACAAAATCAGTGCTTGTGAAGCACTGATGATGTCACCTTGGCTGGTGATGAAACGTTTGCAAACAAATTGCCAAGCTCGGCGAACAGGCGAAATGGAATATATATGATTGTTTGTTTTAAGTAAGCGATTGGGAAGGTAAACGAAATGTTAACATCTCGCGACATTCATCTTCTTTCTATATTGATGAAATGGATAAAGGGGACCCAATGCTTCAAAAGTAGAGGAACCAATAAAAAGTGACATAAAATGTGTCATCATTATTCAGTGGAAACCTATACGCTTTAGAAAAAACAATCTAAGAAAAAAACGGCTCAAATTAAATGACCGAAAACCCTTCAAACACAGATCACAGTGCTTATTGTTTGTCATCCACCAGATATTGCAGGTCTTAAAGTTTTCGAAGAGGAGCAAAGTGATGTTTGTTTGCAAAATACCAGTTTCCAAGTTAATTATAAAATTGCCCACGTACCGGAGATTTCCAGAACCAGTCGCTGCAGAAATGGATTACGTGGATCAGGCGGCAGTCGTTGTACGCTTAATTTGTAACGCGGTTCGATCGGTCGCCAATCACCACCGCTGCTCTGACTAAACTCGAATTGCATTTCCGGTGGACCGTTAGCCAGCGCGGTACAGGTCAATTTGACCGCGTCTTCGACACGACGCCCGACGGATAACAGTTCTTTGTTAATGATCCGAGGCACTAGGATCACATCAACGTCCAAACTGTTCAAAGGGAGGATCAATACAGGCACATACATAGAGAAAGAGAGGCACACAGAGTATGAACATTTAAAAGGGAACCAGTCTGATCTATTTCGGTTTTCTGAACACTCTAATGATTCTCTTTTATGTCCCCCGCCCCAATCTTTGGTTCATTTGTGGTCAGTTTTGTATATTTCCATTGGTATCCGTTAATTGCTCGTCCGTAGGCACTTGATTGCTAAAGGCAATTTCAGTAAAGCTAAACGAGACATTTTCAAAAGTTAGTCAAAGCTTCCTACCATGAGACGGAGCAAATATGAGGGACGGAAAAAAACTTCTGCAATCCAGAAAAGCAAATAAAGAATGATTTGAGGAGTTCATAAGTGGTACAAGTACAGTATTCCGTATTTGAATTGAATAAATTTATGGCAATGGTAAACATGGGACCGTGGTTTCGATAAAATAGAAACATCAGTTGTGCAACTCCAACGGTTTCACATATGCGTCAGTCGGTATCCACTTGTTTTATTGTTCTACCAATAACCATTGTCACTATAGACTTACTCACTGCTGTTCCTCATTTAAATCAGCGAATACACTGTGAAAAACATATCGGCTCAATCGTGTGGGTGCGAAAAATGACACTTGGCTAAACCGAACACAGAGGACTGAAGAGGACCAATCATTACAATTCAGAATGAATTAACCACCACAATGCGCGTTTCACATTATCAACATTTACGCTTCCACTCGACTCAAAACTAGTGCTCAGCAAAAAATTTACCTTCTTTACTTTGCGAGGCACTGGAGCACTCACGGCGGTTGACAATTTTAAAAACTTCTTCTAACATTCGTGGTTTGGCTGATTGAAAATAGGAATCCAATATAGTTTCCTACTCAAACAGATAACATGGTTTTGAAATCATTGCTTGTTCAGTTAACCTGTGTGTGTGTTTGCATGTAACGGGCGCGCGATTCACATACGGAATCTTTCTGTGAGACAGGTAAAAAGTGTGATGATGGATAGTGCGATCAGACGCAAAATGGGATCAATAGACAGATATAACAAATACCGGAGGGCAGTAACGTGGATAGTTTCTCCAATTCATTAGTAATTGATGAGGCATGGATTGTTTTGATCGTAGGTGATACAGAGGAACACGAGTGAATCCCATCTGAACCGGATTCTTGATTTTATGCGGTCAAGTGGGTAATTGTTCTCAGAGGAGTACTCAGATCATGCAATCAGTTGTCGTGGTGGAAGGGTTCCAATGATTCTATGTTGATTGGTGATTAAAATCTCGGTTGGGAGAGACTCGTTAATTCAAATGCTACGCATTCATGATAATTTCACCGTTTGGCACACATTAGGCAACGCAAATGTAATTTGCATCTGGGGGATTTGATTCGAGACCAACAAGCCTCGAGGAAACATTGCGATGTATTGCATTGTATTGAGTTTTGTGGGTTAGATCCGTCTAACTTCAACCAAATTGACGCCAGGGAGGATTATCAGCATATATATATATATTCGTGTTGAGAGAAAAAGCGATAAATGATGAGTCCTTTCTACAACCACTGGATAGACACCTGGAGTGACTGTCAGTAGAAATGTAATTGCAGACGCGAATGGTCCGTGAGGTTGATCTATCAACTCCTCGGTTTGCTTTTCATCACATACGTTGTGGTGAGGTGAGGCGAAAGAGGTAAACCGCATGGACACAATACTCTACAATCCACTCGATTAAGGAAGTCGTCAGTATAATGTATTCATCATTAACGTAGAACGAAACCATTCGTGTTCCACCAAAGTTGAAAGAAGTTGTAAATCAAAACTTAAAGTGCAGCAAGCGCCACGGGGGAATAAGTTAGGCATCCCGAGCAAAGGGGAACAATGGAAGTTTCGATTTATAATCAATACTTGTTCAATTAGACCAAACGGTTTGTCAAATGTGTCCAGTTTGACAAATCCTAGTGAAAACCAATGATAGTATCAGCTTAAAATCATATCACAAGTTGTAAGGGTAAAATATATAAAAATATTTCTGCTGAACAGCCGTACAATTATTCAACCAATACAGTATTGAAAGATTTCACTGTTAGTCTAGTGTGGCTTGAATCACCGTATTCTTGCATCAATGGGACAAGCTGGATGGAATTAGCAACGCGAAGAATGTGCTCCCATGCTAAAGCTTCAGAAATCACGTTATTGGGAGCAGACATATCGAATGGGTGTCACATTATTTCACTTGAAAGATACAAGAGAATAAACGAAGTACGACCGAATGGTTGCAGCTTGCAGCTTTCCATAAAAGTCAGAAATGTCAAATCACAATTAGAATTGGTATCAAGGTCCCTGGTCATTTTTCACGGTCATACACCAGCCCCAGAAAGAACATCAATTTATAATTTAAAAGTGGCCGATATATTTTAACCGCCGCTTTGGAATGCGTCTTGGATCCCACATTTCCTCCAACAGTATGAACTATTTTGCATCATAAAAAGGCGAATCATGCCCTGGTGCACACATCACTTGCTGCACGCCGCGCATTGGTCATGTGCGTACAACTGCATTCAGCCTTAATGCGTAAAGTATCACGCCAGAGACACTGTTCCATCACGGTCAGTCTGGCTGCTGGCGTAAACCACAAATGTACGACTGGTTGGCTAACTGATCTCTGATGGACAAAGTGACACACGTAATCCAGTCACCATGCAGCGGAAACCGTTGATCAAGCCTACCTAAGCTCACGTATAAACCGGACGTGCTTACACTGTGAAGTAACTATTTGGTCA